TCTGCCCCATTTGTGCAAGCCCAGCTACAAGGAAGATCTTTGAGTTCCTCCTAAAAGACTGTCAGAGTCTAAAGATTTAGTCTGCCTTCAATTAAGAGCATAAGAACATCTGTACTGAGTAAAACCAAAGCTCAACCTAGGGCAGCGTTTTGTTTCCAACAGCAGCCAGCAGCAGGCGCTAGAGAAGACTGAAGGAACAGACCAAGCAGACATTCCTAGAAGTATTCCCCCAACCTCCAAGCAATTTGTGGCTTTTAGGAACTTCCTGACCTAGAGGCCTCACGTTTCTACCTAATAGCCCTGGATAGTTTTTTCTTCTATGATTTGATCTAATTACTCTTGGAATCCAGGGACATATCAGCATCCACAATATCCTACAGGCAGTGCCACGGCTGAACTGCTCAAAAAAGAATTCTGCCCTTGTTTTTCCTGAACCTGTCACCTGAGAGTTTCATCTGATTTCCCAGCTTCTCACACTGGTAAAGACGATGACAAGCCACTACTCTTATTTGTGCCACTTAAAATTTTACGAAATTCTATCATACACTTACCTCGTGTATTTCATGTGTTCGGGCATCATTGTTGCCCCTTCCTGTACCTTTTTCAACTTTTCCTATACCAGCTGCTATGAAAAGTACACACTGACTATGAAGCATACATGTACATGGAGCAGAATCACAAAACCACATTTCTGCTTTTAAGAGAAAGACAGCGATGTGACCATTGAGCTACCATTTGCTTTTGTATGTAAAACTGGTGCAATACGTGGCAACTCACTTCTACTGACTTCTCCTGATTGGTTCTAGCGGTATCTTTCAGAATAAGGTTCTGAGATGAAAGCTTAAAAGAAAATAAATAGAAATTTTCCTAGTGGAGTACACTACAGAAAACAAGTTAATACTAAAGAATTAAAAAACCACGTTGAGATAAATAGGCCAAAAGTGCAAATTTATTTGCATGTCTTCTGTTTTCTTCTTCATCTTCTCAAAACAGAGACTTTCTTCTCTGGAGACATTCAAAACCCGCCTGGACGCCTTCCTGTGCAACCTCATCTGGGTGTTCCTGCTCCGGCAGGGGGATTGGACTGGATGATCTTTTGAGGTCCCTTCCAATCCCTAACGTTCTGTGATTCTGTGATTCTGTGACTTTTAGCAAATTATGATTTATATACATCCTTGTTAAGAAGGACAAAGTTATGATGATTTAAACCTAAATTAAATAGTAGCTAGGGAATATGTAAAAGCTTATCACTACAGCTCAACTGATCTTGAATTACCTTTTCTTTAATGAAATGTTAAGACATCAAACAGAAGACAATCAGACTGGCTCTCTTAGGGTCTCTCAGTTACAACAGACAGAAGCATAATGGAAAGAACAGTGTATAAGCCGTTTATTTATCCTAACTAGCCTTCTCCCAAAACTTGACAACTCTCAGTGACGCTAGAGGACAGATTTTAAAATTTATTCTACTCTTTGTCCAGAGCAATACAAGCACTGATGGTGATCATCCAGCAACTGGGACACTGCTAACCTATAAAATCATGGAAGTTGCCCTGCCCATCACGATACATTGTGCTTTTCCAAAGTCCACTAAAGTGGACAACATGGATTTTGAGCATCATGCTACATTTTAATATTGAAAGTGTGGATCAAAGAAGGTCTTTCCAAAGTCAGTAACTGTCTAATTGTCTGTTTTATACTTCATACCACGTGTTGTCTGTGTCCAGTACACCAGGCCCTACTCTTCTCAATGCAAGAAAAGAAATAAATAAATCCAGCAAGAAGAATAATTTAACTTTGTCCTTCTTTCCAAACAGTGTCCTCTCAAGAGGCTCCTTTCCAATCCTATATTTTAGAGAAAATCATTATTTGTCTAAATCGCTTTCCAAATTGGTCTGATTCCACATCGTTTCAGTGTTCAATCTTTTGTTTTTATGCAACACTACACACTGGAGCTGCTTATGGTAACGAAACACTGTCATGACAATTTGGTGTTTTCTTAATTATAATCTTAATTCTTAGCTCACATTGGCTTTTGCTGCCAAATTTCTGCTACATTAAAACATTATGGATAGAGAAAGTGTATTTCATACCTTGGCTGCGTATTGCTCCAAAGCACTGATGGTGTCTGGGTCAATGGCAGCATCTCCTGTGTGAAGACCTGCCACTGTGCCATCAGCTTGAATGGCTAAAATGGTATCTGACTGCGGCATCTGCACTGTGTGGTGAATGTAGGCAGTAGTTCCATCCTCCAGCTGGACCGCTTGTAATGCACTCTGGTCGTAACTGTCTGAGAAAGAATATTGGAAGTGTTACGAAAGAAGAGGAATAGCACTGTCTGTATGCTAGATGAGAAACTACTCCTGTTTAGGAAATGTCTTCTAAAATCACATATATGTACGAAATATATGAGAAATAAAACCACTAGTATATGAGAAATATAAGTACTTAAAATATTAGTATGAATAGCATTGATGAATTGTTTTTGAAGGCAACACCTTCCGTAGCTTTATTTCTGCATGCTTATAAAATTGCAAAACTAATTTTATATTGGTTTAGCTTTATTTACAAAAGAAACCAGGAACACAAATACGCTTTCCATTTTGTATCCACTCATATTAAAATGAATATAAGGTAAGACGTGTACTGATGTCAATACTTCAGATTTTAGAATTCATAAATCTGACCATTTCAAGAACATGATCATGCAAATATACAGAGGAAACATAAAATATAGGAGGACTTTTAAGGAAGAATTTCTTTATTATATCTTCTCCTCTTAGTATTGCTGATAGTAGAATGTAATTCTTGTCACACGAGTTTAAACAGAGTTAAAATATCTACTTGTTCACTTTTTGTAGAGAAGTAGCACTGTTTCCAAGACTAGTGTAATCATCTTCTGTGGAAATCTAAGTTATCATGAAATACATACAATTGCATTCTTGACTGTCAGCTTTCACATTTTCTGCCCTACTACCTAGTGGCAAAATCATCAATAGCATGATCTTTACAATTCAAGTCAATCATTCCATTCTTTAGCTGAAGAGGGACTGACTGACACTGTTTATATGAGGCCCAAGTAAAGAACCGAACCAGTCTCATTTCAACAATTTCCAGATGTCACAAAGTAAAAGCAACAAGTAGTCGACATTGGGAATCACACTAAATGATGCCATAGTCTATCAGAAGTACCCTAATTTATACTGGTGAAGTTCTGTTGAACTTTATGTAAGAAATCACACTTCAAAGAAAAAATTACCTTTTGAGGTGTGATGAATAAATGCCGTAGTTCCGTCTTCCAGCTGAACTGCTTGTCCATCTTCCAGACGCAAGCTGTCCCCTGCTCGAAAGGAAGGATTATAATGCTTCAACAATAGTTTGGAAAATCCATTAGCTAGAAAGATTAAATATTAAATACCTAGAATTAAAAAATACCTAGGATCTGTTCACAATTGTTTCTATGATGACCATTAATTAATTAACATAAATATTTATCAGTAATACATTATTTTAGAATCTGTTTATTGTATTATTACACTTACTGCTTTTAGGCATGGGAACGTGTTGAACATAAGCAGCAGAACCATCTTCTAACTGAATCACTTGGCCATCCATTAATTTACCATCTGAAATACACAATTAGGATTCCTAAAAAGTATTCTGTGTGACACAGCACAGTTGAAACACACAGTTGATACTTTCTGGATTAAAACAGAGAAACAATGTTTGGTAAAGAGAAAGCACAGTATGACTGTACAGAGGTTTTAAAATTCTGGGATTAAAAAAAAACCACCCAGCAACGTGGCAAAGGCCTGACGTCCTAACCAGAATGTTGATATTTGGGTTTGAAGTGTAACGATCATCTCACTTTTGTTTGACTTATGTTCTGCATTTAATACCTGCATCTTATTAGTAACAGAAATAAGTACTTATTTTATAATATCACTGTACTACGTCTAATGCCCATCTGGAACTGAAACTTCATAAACATCGTACAGATTTTACCTGACTTTACAATCCAAAGACAGGATTAAAAAGGTGACTACAATTTCAATACCAACCAACTCCTAGTCATTGACCTACCTTTAGAATTGTGCTGTATGTAAGCAGTGGAGCCATCAGCAAGGGTAACTGCTTGCAAACTTACACCTTCCATGTTTTCTAAGTTGTCACCATCTAGCAAGGAAAAAAAAAGTTCATATTCACTATTACCAGCATCAAACCCTAAAAATCACAACTTAATCACCTCCATAAATTACTACAACCCCTTAAAGCATAATGATTCCAGAAATAGTAACAGAAAATAGTTCTTACTTGCTTTCTGGTTTTTGAATCTTGAACATACACTGGGATCATATGTTCAAGATTTTGCTCTGTAAACCTGACAGCTAGAATGTTATTTTCCTTAACTAAAAAAGTTACAATTTCACTGAATAAATAACTACAAAGCTAAGGTTTTAGAAGAAATATTAAGTCATGAGTGTCCACAGTGAAATAACGAGATATATACTTGCAGTGATTATTTTGTTTTGTACGCTACTACCCCCCATTAATATACACAAGTATATTTAGAGTAAAACACAGATTTAGGAAAAAGTCTTTAAATCACATAAAATCATAAAGCTGTCAGAAAACATCAAGTTTAAGCCAATCCTAGATCACAATTCTGTTTTAAAACTCTACTTGTTTAATCCATACGTAGATATAAACTGACGTTACAAAGGATAAGACAATAAAGCAGTGAGAATGAAGTCAGGTTTTGTATTTCCTAGTCTGGCACACTTCCACTCCTATTACCTTAAGAGATAATTTTCTTTCAGAATTATATTAGCGAACTTAATCTCAGCTAAATAAGAACGATTTCTGATAGATTTCTCATTTGAAATACACGACATGAGTTTTAGAGTTTTAGACATAATAACGTAGAGATATTTTAACCTGAAGGTTCACCTTGCACAGCTACAGCTTCTGTTAGACAAAGAGTCACATGCTGGGCCTCCATTCCTCCTCCAGAAAATTCAGTCATGCCCTGAGAGTCTCGGTTTATCTGAGCTAATAACATTGTCTACCTAGAAAGAAAGTATTCACAAAATATAAACAGAAAAATTAAATTCAGAACCAGAAGCAGTTAAAGACAATGCAAGTTTAATTAGATTTTTATACTGCTGCTGCAAATACTTCATGTTACCTTCTGCATAAAGAAGATGCAATGGATGACTGACTTACCTGGAAAATACTTCAGAGGAAAAAAAGGTATTTGAAATAGGTAAATATTACCTCAATTAACTAAGGTGTGAAGAACTTCTGGTAGCAGTTACTAAACTGAAGTGCATCAACCCCATTAATATTTCAGTTAAACATGAATTATTCAACTACTGTATAGAGAACAACGCTGGTAATGACGGTGTAATTAATGCTATCTTTTTGTCCCCAGAATTAAAATAAAGCTGACAATTCACTCACGGTCACCCCTGACAACAGCAGGGCTTTAACTATATAAATTAACCATCTCTCCAGTGCCAGTAAGAAGTTCAGGATCTATCACACATTGGGAAATACCTCATTATTAAGTCTGACTGAATGATCCAATTATTTCCCCAAACTTTCTGAGAAGGCTTCTATTTGATTAAAAAAAAATAAATCTTTCATTGAAAATAATAAAGTATCTCATGATAAAATGTTTAAACAAGACAACGGGATAGCGATTAGTGAGCGACAGTCACAACGCTGCGTGTATCGCACAGGACCAGATAGAGCCAGTCCTTTGGACAGTAATTTTTCACTCAGGCACTTTCAATATTGGAGATTAAGAAGTCTACTGAGTCTGAAAGGCTATTACTAATTTTCAATAGTAGATTAAGAAGCTATAAAGGAAATATATAACATTGCATTCTACTAACTCAGATGTTGGCTTTCACCACAGGAAAAGAAACCCTCAAAACCAAAACAAACAAAACCAACAAAAGTCTCTGAGTTCTGCAAGCGCTTTAGTTAATGTAACACACACTTAATGTAAATAACAGGGAAAAAATATCACACGGAACTGCAATCTAGGCTACACAGCATTAAAGCAACTTTCCCTCACTCCAATCTCGTGATTTTTTCTTACAATACGCAGCAGTTGGATAATCTCACAAAAAGGTTACAGGTAAACAATCAAAGCTTTTAACCTTAGTACGGTTCTATGACCTGCTGTGTTAGAATTCAAGGCTGAGAAGAATAATCTATGTTCTGTAATTTCCTTATGATTACGTTTCTAAATAACCAAGCTATTTTTACCTCTACAGTCTAGAAATCAGCCCTTGAATGAACTCATCAACAGTGAAGACCACTCAGAAACTCACGCTTACATCAAAACTAAAGAATAACGAAAACAAAATGAGACCATTCAGGTACCCCAGCATGCCTGCAATATTTACTAGGTTTGGTACACTCATTTAGAAGTTGAAAATTATACCCAAGTAATACTTTCCGAATACATCCAAGTGACTTTGAACCAGACTCTATTTCCTAGAGAGAGGCAGGCAGCTACACAAGTCTCTTAGTCTTGGCAAGGAAAAAGCCAACCCACACGCAACTGCTGCAGCCTTGGCTGCCTCAAGTGCTTTAACCAAGTGCTGTGCACAAAGCAAACGCATCCCCACAGTCCAAACCCCGCTAACTTTCATGGGGTGCTACGCCAAGGACTCACATCACCTCCTGAAATTGGACCTGGAGTCTAACTCACGTTGGCATGGATGAGAACATGACTGACAGTTTGGTTAGCTGTAAAAAGCCCCATTAATGGAATAGATAGAGTTTAATAAAGAGAGTGGAAGGGGTAGCTTTAGCAAGGTTTCAACCCTCCTGTAAAAAGCAAGCTTTTTCATGTGCTATGTTAAAAATCATGTAAGAAAAAAACCCAATACTATTAATGATCAGTTCACAAATCAGTAAGAAACATGCCTTCCAAGATTAAAATCCTACATAATATCTATCTGGAACATTAAGGAGATTAAAATCTAGGCTTGTAATAGAGAATTTGAACCTTGAACAGCTCTGATCATCAAAAAGAAGATGGAAGATGGGAAATTCTGTTCCCAGCATCCTGTGCGAGAAAATAATATTTGATAGAAAACGAGGTCCCTACAAGAGATGTAATACAACAGAAAAAGAGCAAGTGCAGAGAAGCCATCCAGACTAAATTCAATTTATACTCGATGTTTCTGAAGAAAATGACTGTTAAATCTTTTGGATGCTGTAATCTAAGGGACAAGGAATTGTACAAGGACATAAGAGATCCTGGGTTCAACTCCTTCCTCTGCCATCTCCACATTAGTGGCTTTGTTCCCTATTACTCATTTATCCCCCTAGTCTCAAAATAGAGACAAAATGCTTACTTAGAATGCACTTGGCTCATAAGCCAAAACTGGGACAACATGCTGTAGCTACAGGATCAGCTTAAGCAAGCACTGAAGTGGCCCTACCCTCAGTTTCATGTACTGTGCAGCAAACCATGTCAGAAAAACAATGCCATTAAAAAAATAACTAGCAACAAGAAAAGCATTATTACAGACCAGTTTGCAAGGACTGCTTCTCTGGAGGTGATGCCAGCTTGTAGTAAGTTAAATTAAGTAATTATGGTATTAAATGCAACTTCTGGTGCAGAGGTTGTTTGTCTCCTTAACTGCGAACAGTGTTCTGTATCGTCAGTGCTTTCCATTCACTCAGTTTGCAGGACACCTCAAGGAAGTAGGCTGCAAAGCTGCTGGACTGTTTCACACACTGGAGAAGAAAGGCTCCACAACCACCGGTTTTGGCTAGAACCGTATTCTGAAACAGTTCCATCAGGGACTGCATCTCAGAGGCCTTTCAGCTCAGGGCTAGTTCACAGTATTCCCTTTCTTCGTCCAAGTAGCTTTTAAGAAGCCTGCAGCATCTTTAATATACTATCTGCCTTTAAAAAGAATAATGCCCTTCCTCCAGAGCTTACGGCTCTTCTCTCAACTTTGGGGAAGGAGAGAGGAAGCCACTCAATGCAGGCAACTGTGAAGTCCTGAAAGAGTCAGAGCAGAACCAATTGGTTAAAGGGTCAGTGGCTCTTTTGGAAGAAAAAGAAAACTAATGCAAGGTAAATTCAAGGGCCAAAGCAGCAAAAGTATTTGTTTAAATTATTTTACAGTGTTTGTTATTGTAGTGTAGCTGGTTAAATAGTTACCACACACTGAAAAAAAATCAGAGTGAGCTGAACACCACACAACAAAGTTCACTACTTTCCTCTACTCTATATGATCTGCACAATCACGCGCTGTAATTTTCACAGGCTGTGTTGCCATTTTCTCCCAATTCCAACTCCTCTAAAATTATCTCTTCCAATATATCCTCTTCACAAGCCTCTGTGTTTCCACCAGCTTCCTACCCCCAGCTCCATCTCTTCTCTTTGAAATAGCAGTTTCCTTCTTCAGCCAATCTTACCATGGTACCAAATTTCCAGCATGTCTCTCTTCCCAAATACAACCCCATCCTTCTCGTCAAAATAATCTAAAATACTCCAATGTCTACACCAACTCCTTCTACAACTAATCCTGAAGTCTCCTCTTGCTGCTGGTCTCCTCTGCATGTCCATCACACCACTGCCTATCACCTTCCTGACTCTTTGTCTCAAGATGCTTCATGTTCAGACCCACCTTAGAAGTACACCCGCAGTAATGGAGAATGTAGCACTTGGACCCTCCCAAACAGCACTCCAGCACCCCAGCCTTCACTCACTCTTTGGTCATGCAGCAGTTTTGCTCTGTTACTTTGCTGTACAGGGAAGAGCACCCTCAGCCAAAAAGTGGATGTGCTGCTCACTTTCAGCCTCTCTTCCTCCTCCCCAGTGGAGAAGACAGGCTAACCAGACAGGGCTACAAGCTGAGGAAGAGGACAGGGAAAGACCTGAAGATGTAAAGCTGGCCTATGTTGTAGAGAAATGGGTCAGGCTACCACAGAGATACTGCTGCTACAGTGTTACTTCTTTTTGTAGGTAGTGTTACTTCTTTATGTCCCTAAGAGTGGTCAAATGCAGGAAGATTGCCAAGAAGGGCTATGGACTCTCCATCCTCACAGGTGTTCAAGACTCGACTTGACACAGCCCTGGACAACGCAGTCCTGCCTTGACTGGGGCTGGACTAGAGAACCACTAGAGGTCCCTTCCAGCTTAAACTGTTTGATGATATCTGATCATTTTCATACTGCATACATTTCAAACAGTATCACTACGTTGCTGGTGCATCATCCACCCTGTAAATCTAGTCTCCTATCATATTTTTATTCATTTGCCTTAAATTTTGAAACCAGTTTGTTTTCATCAAACTCAAGTCTCTCCCCTTACCTCAGCTTTAGTCACTCTCTTCACCCCCTGTTCTGCTGACTGGTTTATACGCTGCTTTCTCTTCAGCTTCCAGCAAATTTGTCTTCATCCTTCTTCCAATACAAATCTCACCTCTATTTCATTGCCTTTAGTTCTGTGTATTTGCATCACTAAGCTTTTTCTTTAAATCACCCATCTACCAGGAATTTTGTCAGCAAGAACCTGGGAAATAAAGGTTTCCCTTAGCCACTTTGAATATTGCACCTCATTAGTCAAAAAGCAGCTGAAAGCATCCATTTTTAGAAAAATACAGGAACCCTAGGGTGAGACCCGCATGGCTGCTCAACAAGATTGATGCATTTGTATTCTGCTTTAATCTCAAGAGCTGCCCCAAAGAAAAGACACAAATAGAGGCTTAGTCATGAGGTACTCACTGAAGTAAAAACTTGAGACTTGACTTTTGGAACTCTTGCGAATCTTCACAGCTCAGACACCGGTTGGAATTTTCAAAGGTGCGTTAATGATGATGTTTGGGAAGGCTTTCACAAGTACAGCAATCTGAAATAATTAGTCACCAAAATACTCCTGGTATTCATGCAGAGAAAATCTTACCTTTAAGATGGTTAAAATACTTCTCACAAGAAACCAGCCTGAGACAGAAAATGATTAGATTGAAAAATCTCTGAACTGAAACCAGCGTCTGATAGAAGGAACAGCAGCCAGCTGCAAGAAGTGATGCTGAAAC